CATGCTTGTTGGTTCCTCTGTACAAAGAGTACCTACTAAGTACTAACCATGTAGGCCTGGTGTGGAAATTAAATAATTACACGCTAGCCCTCAGCACAGAGGCTGGTATGTAATAAACAACTCGAAGGCATTATTAATTTTCTTTTTTTTTTTGAGACAGAGCCTTGCTATGTAGCACAGACTGACCTCAAATTCATGATCCTCCTGCCTCAGGCTCTCGAGCACTGGGATTACAAGTGTGCACCACTTCTGCCTAGCTTGTGATTAACTTTACAGCTCCATTTAAATTCCTAAATTGAGAGGAAGAACAAGAAAAAGTGATTCCTCTCTAGCCGAAGCTTTGCTGTCTAATATTTAACATTTAAAAATTAAAATATAGCTTGAGATAGAATGATACCTTTTCTGAAACTGCAGTGAAATTGTGAATGTGGGCTATAGACACAGAGGTACATGTAGCCTGAAAATCAGGACAGCTAGGTCCAGCTAAGCCACCAGTACAAGACTAGGGCTCAGTTTCCTATTTGGGCTGCACATAGTGGTGTCTGCCTGTAATCCCAGAGCTCAGGAAACAGGTGGGGAGGAGTGTTTCATGTCCAGACCAGCCTGGGTTATGATGGGAGACTCTGTCCCCTTCCACACCAACAACGGACTTCATTTATAGGGAAGCGGTAAGCATGTGAGGGGAAACCAAGAAGCTGGAGCCGCAAGTACTGAGTCTAGCGGTCCCGCAGTGTCTTTCAGGCTCTCCGGACCGCCATCCCCACCCAGCATTCGCTCAAGCTGCGTGAATCATTCGTGTTGGTGCCACGACAAGTTCTTGTCCGTGAAAGACTAGAGCAGAGCCACCCCCAAGCGCAGGTCCTAGCAGGCCCCTCACTCTCCCTGGGAAGGAGCTTCCATGGAATTGAGAGATACACGGCCTCAGGGCATGATTGGGAAGAACAGGCTAGGTCTACTGGAATAATTTTGATTAAATTTCAGGAAGAATCCATTAGGAAGACTAGAAAACACTCGAAAGTGTGACAGAAAAAGAAATCTGTAAAGGAAAAAAAAAGGGTGTTGTTGGCACTGATGGATGAAAACTCGATTTGGAATGCAAATAAGAACTTCAAGAACAAATAAACCCAGTGTGGTGGTACATGTCTTTAATCCCTATTTTCGGGTGACCGGGGTAGGTGGATATTTGAGTTCAAGGCAACACTTGGTCTAAACAGTGAGTCCCACACCTGCACAGTGAGACCCTGTATCAAAAAAAAAAGGGGGGCACAAATATAAAATGTTTAAAGATCTTGGCAAATACACAGATTATAGCTATCCTTTGAATTGTAGATAACGTCAAATTTAAAATAAATTGTGGGAGGCTGGGTATGGCGGCACACACCTTTAATCCCAGTTCTTGGGAAGCAGAGGCAGATGGCTATCAGTGAGTTCAAGGCTAGCCTGGTCTATGTAGTGAGTTTCAGGACAGCCAGTGCTACATAATAAGACAAAGAAAGAAAGGAAGAAAGAAAGAGAGAGAGAGAGAAAGGGGGGAAGGATGGAATGAAGGAATGAAGGAAGGAAAGAATGCCAGGCAGGGGTGGCACACGACTTTAACCCTAGCACTCGGGACGCAGAGGAAGGCAGATCTCTGTGAGTTTGAGGCCAGCCTGGTCTACAAGAGCTAGTTCTAGAACAGGCTACAAAGCTACAGAGAAACCCTGTCTCAAAAAAAAAAAAAAAAAAAAACGAAAGAAAGAAAAAAAGAAAAAAAAAAAAAAACAAAAAAAAAAGAGAGAGAGAGAGAGAGAGAGAGAGAGAGAGAGAGAGAAGAGAAACAACCAACCAAACACAC